TCTGGGACTTTAGAATTTAAACAGACAAGCACTTGCCACACAACACCCCAGACTGAACATTTGTTGATAAGAAAGACAAAAAAGTCTGGATAGTGGGCATTGCAGAATAGAAGAGAAAGAACTGGAGAAAATCACAAAATATAAAGACCTGAGAACAACTGCGGCAAAAGAAGCAAAGTTAGTACTTTGTTAGTAATAGGCGCCTTGGGTGCAACCTCAAAACATCTGGAGCACCTCTTGGTCCATCAGCGTTGACCAAATCACCATCAGTCCATTGCAAAAGGCAGCTTTACTTGGAACAGCTCACATCCTGCAACGATACCTTTAACACCATCAAACAACCACATCTGCCTACCCCAGGTCCTTGGGAAGGACTTGAGAGGGGGATAAAAATGCCGGCCTCACACGTTGCTGTAGTGAGCCTGGGGCCGGTCATTTCCCGCGGCCTCGGCATTAAGCCACAAAGTTCAAAGGCCTGGAGTAATCGGGGCTTCTAGGCGGGAGCAGAAACAAGAGTAAATTTTAAAACCAGGAAAACGGGACTTGTGGCATCAGACCAATGAAAGGGAGCAGCCATGGTTTTCAGAAGGCCCTGCAGGGTGGACAAGGGTGCAGTCTTTGCCCAGGAAAGTAAGTCTGCACCTCTGCTGCGCTTGAAGATGGAGTCAAGGCGAGAAGCAGAAAGAAGAAAGAGAAGCAGAAAAGCTCTCACCTTGGGGGAAATCATGACCAGGAAACGGGCAGAGCTACAGCTTGGCCTTGGAGAACACGTGTCCCTTCAGGGCAGGTGCTGCAGCAGAGAGGCCATGTCAGCCTGGCAAGTGTCCAGAAGAGGAGGCCCTCGGGAGATCATCAGCCCTGAATTGGAGCAGAAAAGGTCAGGAGAGAGGAGATCAGACAGATCCTTGCGTAAAGGAGAGAAGAAAGCTGGGGATTCAGTGTACCCCTGGGGTAATCTGCACCATGGGCACCGATGTCCCCTGGAGGTGAAAGCAAAAGGAAATCAATTATCAGGATGAATCAGAGCAGGGGAGAAAGCACAGATCAGCACCTGAAGAGAGATGCACTGGAGGGATGCTGGCCAGAACAGCATTAGGGTTTAGAAGGTGGAGAACCCCACTCCACTCACCATTCTTGCATCCTTCCCCAAATGCTATTTATTATTGCCATTCCAAAAGGGAGCATCAGGGTGTTGGAGGGCGTCTGGTGAGTCCAATTATACCCTACTCCAAAAGGGCTGTGATTACTGGCTTCAATCCTTCCTCCTTGAGCCGCATGCTGTGGGGCACCACCAACTGATCAGCTGGGTGCAGTTGGAGCGTCTGGCTCTTGTGTTGGGGGGAGCGCTGCTCCAAGAAATGTTCCTCCAGACTCACGTGCAAATACACAGACCCCCATCACGCCTCTGGCCAGCAAAATGAGTGACAGAAACCATGGTTTGCTTGCCCAGAGACACCTCTGTAGGTAAACCTACACCCACTGAATCTCTGCCTGTTGTGGAGCTGCAAACAACTGGCCTGGAGCAGGGGCAGAGGTAACCCCCGTGAGGAGAGGCCATGGGCCTGAGCAGGCTAGCCAGGGTCAGGCCGAACGGTTCCTTCCCAACCCCGTTTGATGCTCCTTGAAGAGGCCTCCTGTGGCAACCAGGGAGGGAAAGAGGAAAGGTATTGTGGATTTATTTTGGGCTCCCTGACAATAGAGGCAGGCGCTGAGGCTGTCACACTTGTGGCAGCACAGCCAGGCGTTGATGAGAGGTGCGGGTGCTGAATCACCGGGAGCTTGTGCAAGAAGCTGCTTTTAACCTATCCTGTCAAATGGAAGGATTGGGCCCAGCACAGCCCCAGAGCAAGGCTCTGCCCTGGCTTTGGCAGCTGCCTGGAAGGGACCTTCGGATGCCCCCCCCCCGAGTCCTCCCGCCCTCCCTCCTGCCCCCACCTCGCCTCCAAGTCTGACTGGAGCAGCCCCAGTCCTGCCGGAGAGCGGCTGTGCCCCCAGCCTCCTAGGACTGCTGGCCCAAAGCCCCACGGCCAGCCTTCTGGGGTCACCTGGCTCCTCCGAGGCTCCCCCACTGCCAGCAAGCCTGCAAGCCCCTGAGCCCAAAACAGGCAGAACAAATTCTGCAAGATGGCGGAGGCAGTCATTTCAAGCCCTGGGAATTTCTCAAGGAGGCAGAGCTGAGGAGTTCTCTGCAATCGAGGAAGGGGCTCACTTCAAAGAAAGGAGGAAATGGGAAGACTGAAAGAATGTGTTTTCTTTGAGAGGCTATTGATAAAATACATGAAGGTATATATAACTGGTGACCTAAGGCACAGGTGGGGAGGGCGGGGCAGGAGGTTGCCCAGGGGTTCGCCTGCTGCATTTCCCTCACTGCCGCCTTCCCCTTCTTCATCTTTGCCCCTCAGGTCCGGGCCATGAGGCTGTCGTTCGTGGGAGAGATGGGCTGGGAGCTTCATGTGCCCAAGGAGCACTGTGTGAAAGTATACCGTGCTGTCATGGAAGCTGGTGCCAAACACGGCATTGCTAATGCCGGTTACAGGGCCATTGACTCTCTCAGCATTGAAAAAGGTTTGGGGAAAGAACTTGGTTTTGCTTAGAGATTGACTACCCCCCGTGAGTGTCACTGTACATGGAAAGTCCCCACTCCTGAGCCATGGGCCCCGGGTCTCTTGAAGGGGAGTCATAGTGATAGAAGGTCTACAGGCTGACTAGGAGATGAGGATTGTCAGCATAAGTAACCCTACAGATTCCTGTCCTGCATCAGATCTCTAGGAACACCACCCACCCCGCCCTACCCCAGCATCCTTGGGGCAAAATCAATTCTCTCCCTTCCCTTCAGGCCCAGAGCCAGCCCCTTCCAGCTGCACAGACAGGCCTGTCTTGGTCTGGTGAGGGGATAAGAGAGGTGAAGATGCCTCCCCTGCCCACCTTGGACCCCAGAAGTGCCTCTTCTAGAGTCTGGGTCTAGCCAGATTCTGGTTGTTTAGAAAGGGACAGTTAGTAGGTGGTTGGCTTTACTGACTTGGCTTGAGGTCCTTTGTTACTCACCTGTCTCTGCAAAGTTTGAGGATGCTATTGCTAAATGGCTAAACTCGTGGCTGGATTCTGGAGGGGCAGCTGCCTGCCAGGTAGGCAGGTGGCACGTTGTTGCTCAGGATGGCTGGAAATAAGGAGTGGACCAGCAAGCCACGAGTGATGCTGCCCTGGGTGAGGAGAAGGGGTTTCCTCCACAGAATGGGAAGAGTCCCATTAAGCCCTTCATTCAAACGAGAAGGTCACTATCCTGCCATGTCCCTGTTTCAGTTTCCAGAATGCTGTTTCCCTGTAAGTCCAGCTACCGCTGGTTTGACGTATATGGGAAGACTGCATCTTGGCCTGGCGACCGGAAGCGGTTGCTGTTCTCTTGTGCAAAGGGAGAGCGAAAAAGAGGGAATGCAACAAGCACAGGCCGGGTGGTTTGTTAAGTGTGTCTTGGCAGGTGTTTGGCAGAAATCTGGTTGAAAGCATACAAAAAGTAACAAAAGCAAGGTTTGTAAGTCGCAGTGTGGCTTTAGGCTAAAGTTAATAGGTTTACATTATGGAATGCTTTGCACAGATGTGGAGTTAAAGGTTGATTGGTGAACATGATAAGAGCCCCAGCCCCTTAACCCACTCTCCTGGGGTTCTGGCATTCCCTCTTGCCAGCCTTCCCGTCCCTTTGCAGCAACAGCATTCTTCCAGGGATCAGGCCTGCGTGCAGTCTTCCTGTAGCCACTCCATAAGCAAACCCCAGAGTCATTTTACGAGATGAGCGGTGACAAATTTGATGAATAAATAAATAAAAAATATATTAAAAATTTAACATTTCTCCTCTTAAACCCTCTTCCCCTGTACCATTATGTTTTTCAACTTTTTCACAGTATTTAGGACTTTGTTTCCACCCATTTTTCTCAAACACGAATGTTTATAGCATTCTCATCAATTCCAGTCTGCAACATTTTATGGTCCTCCCCATACTTCTCTCTGGAATGCTCTTTTCCAGCATTCTCTCTCTTCAGCTTCACCCAAATCATTTCATCTCGCTCAGTTCCTTTCCCTCTGCTGCAGGTGCCTTATTTATCCCTCTTCACACACTTCCAAAACATCTCTTTCTCCCCATATATGTAGTACCAAGTCTTTCATTCTCATTTTTGATAGCAATCATTCTCTTCTATGCAATTTCCCTCTCCCACTTCATCATTTCACCAAATGTCCTTTTTCAGACTTGCCATTAGTGTAACTCCACGCACATAAGCTTCACCTTTCACATGCTTGCAAAAGTGGTGGTGCTTCCATCACAACACACATTTTGTCACTTGCCTCCTCCCCTTGTTGCCTTTCTGCAGACACCCACAAGCCAGCATACTTTTGGCCAACTTGAGGTACATGTTAGGATACAGTGAGATCCCTGTCCTGTTTCCAGTGCCTTGAAGCTGCCCTTGGAAGTGTTGGAATAAGGGGGAAACAGTACTTTCCACACTGGAACGAGTAAAAGTGGGCAAAACCTGTCTTACTTGAGGGGTGGAATGAAGGCAGTCTTACGGGTCCATGGCAGAAAAAAGACACCAGCAGGGCAGGTTAGGTGGCAGTGAGGAAGGGCCCTAAGCCTTCACTAATAGTTGGCAAAGCTTCAGTGTGTTCTTTTAATATATAATAAATAAATCCCCTCTTACCCCTGTGGGTGGTCTGTGGCTTCCTCAATCTTGGGTCCTCAACCAGAGGCCTGGGACTTTGACGGTTCTGCACAGTATCTGAGCTGTTCCTAGCCCCGCACTCTTCTGATGTTATTCCTGTGATCTGTTGGAGCCACTGTCCCAACTTAGGAGTCACAACCCTGAGTGCTCCTATCACCTCTGAGACCACTTTGGCCTTTACTTTCCACATCCTCTCTAGTTCTTCCTTCAGGCCCTGGTACTTCTCCAGCTTCTCATACTCCTTCTTCCTGATGTTGCTGTCACTTGGCACTTCTACATCCATCACTGTCTCTGTCTTCTGGTCCTTGTCTACTACCACGATATTTGGTTGATTGGCCAGTCCCTGCCTGTCCATCTGGATCTGGAGGTCCCACAGGATCTTAGCCCTGTTATTCTCCATAACCTTCTGTGGAATCGCCCATCTGGACTGGGGAGGGTCTAGCCCATACACTGTGCAGATGTTCCTGTACAAAATGCCAGCTACTTGGTTGTGCCATATGTTGTTCCTGCCTGCATCTTATACCCGGCCACTATGTGTTGGACTGTCTCTGAGGGTTCTGCACAGTCTGAACCTTGGGTCCTGTCTAGTGTGGTAGACCCCTGCTTCTATGGATCTGGTGTGGTTTTTTAGTCCTGCCCTTTCCAACCACTGGTAGGATTTATATTATATATAAATTATTAAATATATATTAGAATTTTTAGAAAATTCTAAAAAAGTTCCATTGTGTTCTGAAATCCTGCTTGAATTTCTGTCTCCTGCCTGGATATTTTCTAATTGTGCCCTCCTGACAGGTATGAGCTCTTCTTTTTGGGGTCCTACTAAACTGTCTTAATAAATCCATTCCAACTGGACCCCAAATGCTGGCAGGCTAGAATTATGCTAGCAATTAGCCAATGCAAGAAAAAGAATCAAAACTGCCCACAAAGCTGATTTAATTTGTTGTCATGGTTTTGTTCCATTAATAGAGGAGAGAGCACATGAGGTGCTTCAGGCAAGCTGTTTGCCCTCCTTTCATTCCATGGCCTTAATTGTGGGGGAGGTTTCCTTCCTTCCTTCCTTCCTTCCTTCCTTCCTTCCTTCCTTCCTTCCTTCCTTCCTTCCTTCCTTCCTTCTCTACACTGCTAACCCAAAGCTGTTCCTCTTAT